CTGACGATGCCGACTACGATGCCGGCGAAACGTTTGGGAATGTACTACGTCCACGGTTCAACTTTGGAAAGGAGCATGCAGACAATGGACTCCGGACTAGCTGCGTTCCTCTAAGTCTTCCTACCAATATGACCATGTTGCGAAAATAAGGTCAAACAACCTCTCCGATACAATCGGTTGCACTTTAATGGGAACATAAATCATTCAGAGTCACATAAGGCGATAAAAGACTGATAGTTAAATTTCGCCAAAATAAAAGGACGCCGATGACTTTCACTTGGCCTTGCTTTATAACAGCTACTTTTAGTCCGGAGTGGTCTGAGGTTTCAAACTCGCTTGGGTGTCATCAGCGAACCCGAGTAGTGCGTACCATAAATGCGATGTGAGAGACGACTGGGTTGCTTTGAAAGTCAAGTATATTCATATATATATATATATATATAGATTGGCCGTATAATTTCATTCTTCCATCCATACCGAGAGTAAGTGCTCCTTCATGGTCAAGGGATTTCGACTACTACCGTGTGTAGACCTAATTCTAAATGGGATTCTAACGCATGAAACTCAAATAGGTAGGTAAGGCTGATACTTCCTCTCTACACTTCCGAATGGAGACAGAGATTTTGGATAAGCGAAGTATTAACAGCAAGAAAGGCCAAGTTTAGATGTGAGTTGGAAATGATCTGCCTTGCTCTAAGTTTCCATTTTGCACTGCATATCAATGGCCAAACTTGAGCGTTCTGAACTCAACTCACTTCAGTGCAAATGAATAGGCACGAGCAAATTCAAAACTAAAGACAACTTACTGAAGAGCTCACTTTTGGCAGCATGACGCAATAAACTTTTCCAGCGATTGCAAATCTTGTATCCCATTTATCGGGAGGCCAGACACCAGAGCCTGAAATAGTGCCTGCCAAGAGGCCCATTAATAACATCTATTAGCCTTCAATAGAAGTTGGTTGCGAGACTTTCAGTAATCCTTGAATAAGAACTTAATCACTTTAGGTCGTGTGAGGCGATCAAAAGACTGATAGTCGAGGTTTCGCACAATGAAATTAGTAAGCCTCACGATGGCATCAGATTTTACTTGATTCTATCTTCAAAATACTGTCTGTTCCAGAATACAAGATAGGCTGATCGTCATTTTCTTTTTGATAGGACTAATGAGTGCTGCACTCAATTCGCTACTTGAATGAACTGTAAGCGCCTTCCTTTTTTTCTAGAGGATCACCAAATTCAAATGCCCGATAAACTTGTTATTCATAAAGACTCTTGGCACTTCGCGAAGGGATAAGAAGATGATTTAAAGGCTAACATTGAGCTCGAGAGACCTTCATTTTTCTGGTTGCTGAGCTATCCTACAAGCGGTCCACATGTTTCACTGCCTACAGATAAAAGAGTCATCAATGGACAGTCAACTACCCTGGTGCTCTTCTTCTAAATAACTTAAAAACCCAGCCACGCTATGACGATCGAGTCATGTTGCAACTATTATTCCGGAGGCGAAGAGATAAGAAGGTTGGACCTTCCAAGTGGGCTTGGACTGAAAACGCCAAAGCAAGACTCTGGAGTTTTTTAAGGCAAAGCGCAAGAGATCGTCATGGGATAAGAAAACAAGGATTATGAATCCTGTACTTGACAACTTATATCCTGATTGCAATTGTCTGATGGACAAAGAGGTAAAATAATCTTGACTAGTTTAGATATCACATATTTGGTCCTATTCATTTGATGAAGTAGGCCACTCAGCCTCTTTCTTCGGCAGAAAAGATATCTCTGGCTGATTTCAGCGCTCACATGCGACATTAAGCCTAGAAAAGCTAAGCCTTTAGACGGTCTTGAGGCTAGATATGCTTACATAGACATAGTGTTTTGTCAAAGCGGAATACAAGTAGAAGCACTTTCAGTGACAAAGTGAGAATTAAAACAAGCCTACATGGAATTTGACTCTTTTATGCAGCAGGTTTCTCAAAAAGGGGATATTTATTTTACACAGGAAGATTGAATAGATGTATACATGTAGGTCTGGGGAGAGGAGCAAGTGAGATGTCAATAGATTTCCAGTAACATATAGAATGTTTGAAAAGATCTGGTTGCAGGCGAGAGTAGAGAATTTCCTCATATATCCTGAGTTTTATTCGATTATATCAGTGCTTCTATAAAAGGTAATTGATAAGAAATCACTTTTAGTGGAAAATTACCACTAATGCAGTAGACCATGCGTCGATGGTAGTATGGGATTTTTCGGGACTCGGATAAAAAGATAAACTTATAGAGAAGAGGCTTGTCAGGTTTTTACAAAGTGAGCGAGCTCGAAAGATCTTATTTTTCTAGCAAATATGTGGGCGCGTCTACTCTGAGTTGCGCCCATGTGTGTGCGTATGTGTGTGTATGTGTGTGCATATGCCAGCGTGTGATTCGAGTTTTAAGCGATTGTTGCTTTACATACCGTCAAGGACGCTTTGAGTGCCATCCTATCACGCATAGCCTCCCAGCAGGCTGAAAGGAGTAGAGAAACGAAGTAATTAAGAGGATAAAAAAGTTGTCTGGCCGAATTCGTTGCTAGCGGAACAAGATGAATTTGCACTCCACGCCAAATACTTGCTCTGTGAAGACGTAAAATGAGAAAGGTAGGATGTAAACCGGTCGACCTCTTAGGATCGACTCCGTTCTGCCCAGGCGGACGTAAAATAGGAAGACATCAGCAGACACAATTAAAAGATACATTAGTTATAGCTCATCCTCAGGTAAACTCGAGATATGCTCTATGTCTGGGCAATGAGAGAGACACACACTGCTGCATATAGGCTTCGAGTCAAAAGTGGTCACCATCATGATGTGAGATTTGCAGGCGTCTACTCTTTTCTGAAGAACTTCTGTCTCCTTCTCCAATGCCTCCAAAAAGCTGGGGTCTTCTGGATCCAATTGTTCCGCAACGTAGACTAAACGGAGGATACAAGAAGAAAAAATAAAATTTAAAGACACAAGGCATTTAGAAAAATGCAAACAAGTAGTATTTGAGTAGCATTTAACTGGTAATTGAAGATAAGTGTGTATCGTGTAGATTTTAAAACCGAAGGTGATGAAGCAGTGAATATAAAAATTCTTCCAAGATGATATGAGTTAGCCCATGCGAGGTCAAAGCTGCAGTCCACTCTGGATGGGAACTCCTTTTGTGAGGCAAGGCTGAGTAGAATTCAATGGCATCGTGAGGCCTACTAATGTAATTGTGGAAAAATTCAACTTTCATCACATTATAAGACCTGTATAAGGTAAATACATTATTACCATTATATTGTCATTATATACTAACCTTTAATGATATTATACGACCTACTTATAGGAAGAGTAGTAGCATAAAAATCCTATAAAAGAGGCTTATATTGTATCAGGATTTTTTATGCTATTTCTTTAGGATGAAATATCGCAGAGAGATACAGATATCACTCAGATGACCTAATAGGCCAACTCAATTGGAATTTTTTCGAGAAGCCCGATTGAGAAGCAACCACTCTAGAAACAGCCTTAATTGCGCGCAATATAATGAATCAAAAGTAGGTTATCAATTCATCCATCTTACTTTCAATTAGTATGAGAATTAAAGCTTGCTACGAGGAATTAATTTGAAGAGTTATTATGTAAGTTGAAGAACATCATGTTTTTGTTAAAACGTACTCATATACAATTGTTTTTGTCCCCTGTCCTACTGACTTTAATGTTGATAAATGAAGGGACTTGTTGAATGTTAATATTGGATTTGCCTATGGAAAAAAAGTTAAGAAGATTTTCTTATGCTAAAAATCAGTTTCAAGTTAACTTACGATCGTAACTCCATGTAGATCGATCCACTCCAAGCAGACTTTTTGTTTCCATCAATTCCCTCTTCAGAACGTCCTGTTGAGCCAAGAGATCGTATATTTTTTCATAGCGTATCTGGCGAAGCATCTGCTATGAAAGATACAAAAATGAGGCCCCAATTGAAATTGGTAAATTAAAATATATTCGAAAAACAAGGTTGGATTGTGGCAGAAATAGATCATGCCGATTGTTGAATGAAAGAAACTGCCCAAAATGTTATTCCCACCTAAGCTGGACTGTGGCCTCGATCTCGCCCAGGTCTTATCAGCTCCTCCAGCGGGATTCAAACTGTGGGTTTACGGGTCGGAGCGTCTGGGCAACAAAATATTGGCACTACTAAGCCGACTTATCCCAACGGATATTGGGGTAGGGTCCCATATCTTATAATCTAAAGCCTTCAATTCAGTCTCCAGGAGACCAGGCAAAAAACGGTATAATTAACGATCAGATTGCTGATAGAATGGCCTTCTCATGGCCGATCCAGACCAAGGATAGACGTAAGGAGTGTACCAAAATGAGGACAAGACGATGGCTGCTGATCAGATCAGTTCCTAATTATTGTCTCTTTGCTATGGCTAATGAGGCTTGTTTAGGGTAAAAGCCCGAAGCGGATATCAAAAGTGTCAATATTATGACGCCTTGAATCAGTAAATCTGTTCCATGCGAGAGGAGCATCATCAGTTCATATTAATCAGCTTTAACGACTAGAGCTTCAGAAGATGTTTTCAATAGTTTCACTTTCTAACTAAGCCATCCTCCTAAATTGGAGTAAACAAATATTCTTTCTACATCTTGGCCTATTATGCAGTAGAGTTGGTGAATGAAAGGTTAAACTAAGGATGAATTCAGATAGTCAAAATTGAGGAGCAATAGGGGCAAGATGGGTCTACAATGGAAGCATAATACTAATGTTTTTGATATTTAAATAATACGAGAATTATTGAAAAGTGGCAACTTCTTTTGAGCTGTACAACTTTCGATACTACTTAACATATTTTAGGCGTTGTCAATAATTATCAGAAGTTAAACATGCAGGTGGTGGCTGATATTTGTTAATTTAGAAGACAAATTATTTTCCAGAATTCCCAGTTTAAAGCATAAGCCACAGGGCTACTAGAATCGAGATTATCCATTTTAACGTACTTAAACTATGAAAATAGCAAATTTGACAGGCCAAATTCGACTGTACGACACTCAACTTCTGGAAGAACCAGTAAGCGATTTGTTGAGCTTAATTAGGAAGACGTGTATCCGTGTCGATTTGAAGAAACAATTACTTTTTCGGGCAGACTCTTCTAAAGCACCTCCGACGGATGATATGGAAGCAAGAGCATTTAAATGTCAAGAAAAAATCTCAGACTACTAATATGCATTTGATGAGAAAACATAGATAAAGATAAAATCTAGTAAATTTAATCAAATTCATATATATTCTATTCATTCCTATGCTTTTCTAGTAAACTGCTCCATGAGCCATTCTATTCTGTTCTATACAATTATTCATTGTATTGTGTTCAATCTCATTCCGTTCATTTCATTTTGTTTCACTTCCGTCGAATTTAATTCAGTTCACTTTAATTTAATCTAATTATAACGTGCAATAATTTATTATATTACAGTATAGTGCTTTATACTGTACCCCATCCTATTCCTTTTGATTCCATCCTTTTTTGTTACAATATGCTCTATTTTATTTTATTATAGTCTACTATAAGATTTTCTAATCAAATTATATAGGTATCTAAAAAATGTTGTAATATCTTTTATTGTATTATGTTCTATCCTAAACTATTCATTAGTAATATTTTGCATTCTTTTTTCTTTTATATTTTGTTATAATGATTATTATTCTATCCTATTCCATTTTATTCTATTCTAATTTTTTCTATTCTAAACAATTCCGTCATACTCTTTTTAATATTGTATTCTTTTGCATTTTCTTATAGCCTATCTTATTCGATCCGATTACATTCAATTTTATTCTCA